AAGCCTGAAGAGGCTTGGTTAAAAGAATACTTAGTGTTTGAGCCTAGAGAGGCTTGGTTGAAAGAATACTTGGGGTTAAGCCTAGAGATACTTGCTTGTTGTTCAAAGAATACTTGGATAGTTGCTTGAAGAGACAAGTCAAAGATTACTTAGGATTGAGCCAAAAGTGAATTGGTAAAAGAATACTTATAACTTTGTTGAAAGTTAGTGGAACTCAATCTGATTAGATTAAGAACTAGACGTAATTTTGGTGGTTAAGATGAACCAGTATAAAAATTTACGGATTAAGAACTAGACGTAATTAGGGCTTCGTCTACACATGATGTGTGAGTTTTGGATACACATTATTCAACCCCCCTTCTAGTATGTGTCTTTTCTCCATAGTTATAAAGTTGTGGGGGGTATAAAGCTATTAAAATTGTGTGTTTGTTGAGTGTTGAGATGTAAAGTTTCTAAGATAGGTGTGTGTGTGTGTGTTGTGAAGTTATCTCCTAAGTTGATTATTTGATTTATTTAAAGTTGAGATTTTGATGTTGTTGCTTAGTTAGAGTTGATGATATTTATATAGTTAGCACATTGCTTTCTATATTATATGTTGAATCATTTAGACAAGTTTACCCTCACTTTTCCATGTGTTTACTACTGTTATCATACTTGGTATGAAAATAAATCAAGGTTAGGTTGTAGGCCAAGCTTGATGGTTGGTCATGTTGGAGATGACATTTTATAGAGGTTGTTCTAACACAAATTTGTTAGGTCAGACAAAGCAATTTCCAGTAAGGTTTTGAATGAGACAAATATAATGTATATTGTTATTTCTAACGAGTGCATTAGTGTTTCAAAAAAAACATAAGTACAGGAAAGTTGAAGACTAGAGTATATGCATGTACCACTTTCTACACCAAAATTAAGACAAAAGTGAGCTAAGCACCGGATGAAATCTGATCAAAAGAAGGATATACAACAGACAAAGCTACCCACAAACTACAAACCTTGCATTATAGCAAATTCAATCCTTCCTTCCCAACACAGACACAACGCAAAATAAAGAACAGAGCACGAACAACCAACATAAAGGGTAAAAGCTACAAGACATCAAATGAAGAGATCAAACGAAATCAAGCCCAACACAAGAAGGAAAATAATGAAGCCTCGGATGATACAAGACCACAGAAGATGGAAAATCTAAGTCAAAGCATCCTAGACGAAACTAAAAGTCTGCACAGCTGATCAGATGAAAGAAAAAGTCAAAGTCTATCTCTTAGACGGAGACTCAAATTTCCAGACGAAAATGAAGAATGTTGAATTGCATCTAAAGTCTACTAAGTCACCACGAGAAGTACTGCTTATCATTCACACTCTCAGAAGAACACATGAAGTCATCAAAAATAGAAGAAGAGAGAAGAGAAAAATGGAATAGGGCTTATCCACAAGTCAAAGTTGCATGTGTTAGAGCAAGTACATCTACCATTTAGTAAAAGACAATGCCTTTACAGCTACAATGCCAAGAAAGTACAGATATGCCTAGGTTATGATTGAAGTTAGACATAAAAGTAAACAAACGGTACAAAAGACTTCACGTAATACAGATTTGGCAAGCAAACATTTAACGCAAGATCAAATGCATTAAATACAAGATCTACGAAGCCTGGACGAACTAAACAAGAAAATCAGATGATGGTTGGTCAAGCAACAAGATTAGGCATGATCAAAGACAGAAGAAAATTCAACAAACACTAGATGAGGCCTACTACAAGTTAAAACCTTGAAGTATCACATGAAAAGCCAAAACAGGGCTAAATTTGGAACAAGACAAAAATGGGTTAAACATTAGATGAAACCAGATGGTCAACTCAGATAAAGGAACAGTCAAGACAAGGCACATCATGAGAATCAGACAAATCAAGCTAACTGAATAGACAAAGTATGATATGATGGAGGAGGCCCATGGGCCAAGGGCCCAACTACTAGGGCTATGGCAAAGAGGATTCAAGAAGAGTGGGCCCATGCTCAAGAAAAGCCCATCACACTTTTCAATTCGGCTTTGACTCAAGCCCAAGTAGAGTAGGAGTAGTGTAGGTTTGGGCCTTAGGGCTTGTATTGTATTTTGGGCCTTGTATTTCGGCCACTTAGACTAGGATTTTCATTTCATGGTCATTTGGATTTAGGGTTAACTTAGGTTAACATGTACATCTTCATTTGCATGTAATTAGTATGGAATTTGGAGTGTATTTCGGCCATGTGCACACATGCACATGCTGTGACCGAAATGCAACTCAAATGGATACTAAATCACATCCAAATGAGTGCACATGGAGGAGGTGACCGGTTGGCACCAAAATTTGAATTTTTGAATTCAAATTTTGGCGCCTAGAGTTAAGTAAACCATACCATGGTTTTACTTAACCCGAGGTTAACCCAACGTGCACCCTTGACCTAATTTTCCCTATAAATCTCTCCTTGTCCGAGTTTGTAAACACTTTTGGAATTATTAAATGAGAGATTACTCTTTGAATTTCTCCCCTCCGAAAGTCTCCTTAAACCTCACTCTACCCTACTTGAGCTCCTCTATTTCTAGAGTTAGATTCCTTCATCATTTTCTATCCGAGATAGCTTGGTCAAGGGTTGGCTACACTTGTTCTTCTTGGAGCTTCTAGTCCTTGCATTCCTTCCAAGGATCCGAGAAGAATTGAAGAGCATTCCTTGAGGTTTCTTTAAGTAGGACCTCATCATGATATGTGCGCCAGACGACTATGAGTCTAATATCAGATGAAGGTGTGTCAAGGATAACCTCCAGTGCAACATAAGAAATTAGATGAAGCACAAGTCAAAGATCAAAAGAAAGTCAAAGAATTAAAGTCAAATGCTCAGACAAAAATCACAGATTGAGATGCATAGGACTAACAGACACAGACGAAGATTACCACGCAAGCACTTAAAGAATCAAGTCTCAAAGGACAAATTAAGGCATCGTCTACGATCACTTAAATGCTCTCAACATGATAGCGTGATGAAAGAAGAAGAAGAAAAGCACGCAAAAGAAAAAGCATGCATGTGTCAGGAAAAGTACATCACTTTTTCAGATAAGGACAACACTCTACAACTACGCGACCTGAAAAGGACAAAAAGGTTCCTAGGTCTCTGCTAAACTCAGACACAGTTACTGACAAACCAAGAAGACTTCACGTAATGTCTATAAACAGGAAGCAACATTTAATGCAAGATCTTGAGCATTAAATGAAAGATCAAACTAGTCATGAACGACTATATCTGCTTCAACGGACACTTGCAACGGACAAATTCTACAGGACAATATATATATCACTACCTCAAACCTTGAAAGGTTGGATTTTGAATTTTAACAAGAGTGATATCCAGCCCACGAAGCAATGAAACCAGAGAAAGAGCGTATACTGTCAAATCTACCATAGTGTATTCATCACTGTAGACTAAGGAGTTCTAAGTGTAACTTAGGAATATGAACCTTAGTGAGTGTATTCATTTTTTTGTATCCTCTCTGTGAGAGTAAACCATACACTCAATCGCTGTAAAAATTAAGGTTACAAACCTTAGTGAGTGTACAAACTTATGTATCCTCTCTATGAGAGTCACCCAAACACTCAAACCAAATCTATTTAGTTATCATATGTAATGCTTGAAGAGGCTAGGAAAAGAATACTTGTAAAGCCTGGAGAGGCTTGTCAAAGAATACTCACTACAAGTCAGAAGTGGCTGATCAAAGAATACTAGCGCTAATGGTGAAGTTAGCGGGCCAAGAGGTGGTCGAGAATACTCATTGAGAGCCAGAAGTGGCTGATCAAAGAATACTAGCATCAGCGAGTGAAGTTGATGAACCAGGAGTGGTTGATAATACTTGGGACCAGGAGTGGTCGTGACCTGGGTGGTCTATAATACTCACTACGAGCCTAAAGAGGCTGAACAAACAATACTTGTACTTCATTGAACATCTAGTGGAATCCTTCATTTGAAGGAGACTAGACGTAGCTCAGTTTAAGTGAACTAGTATAAAAATACTTGCACAATGCTTTAATGTTTCTAACACATTTTTATTTGGTTGATTTAATATACTGAAAACCTCGTTAATGTTTATCATCTATTAAAACTATCTTCAGACGAAAATCACACTTGTTCAATTTGTTATCTTAAAGGATGATTTTCATTTAAGAAGCATTTTCCCTAAGCAGACGATAAACTCCTAGATGCAAAAATATTTTGTTGAACCAATCCTGGGCAGTTCTAGTTTACCATTCAGTAATATTATATTATTGGATGAAAAAGAGCCTTCTTGCTAAAACGTTTTTAAAATTCCTTTGCTCACACACACACATATTCAACCCCCCCTTTCTATGTTTTTTTCATCTAACTTCAAACTTTGTTTAGATGCTTAACCGACAACTTAGGATTTTATTGCTTTCTAGTAATAATATTTGTAGAATAAGTACATGGATTATTGTAACCCCGTGAGGAACTTTATGTTTTCCAGTTGAAATAAGTGAGGATTATTTTACATTTTTTACACCTTATTCATATATCTATTGCATGAATATATAGGTATTGCCTCCATGAAAATCCTAGGTTATAAGATGTGTATGTTTTCCACTATATTGTAGTTGTGCTATAATAAGTGTAGTAATCTGTCGAGTCAATATAAAAAGTGTATAAGAATGCTTTTCTTAAAAAGAAACCCCTATAAACACTCTCGCGTAAGATAATTATTCGTATTTAATATATAGGGATATATTTATTCTCCTATGAATTGTAGTTTTGACAAATTGTTATTTAAATTAAATAGATAACTCAGAAGAAGATGATAAAATTGTGAAACTAAAAATTTGGAACCAAAATCACAAATTAAATACTATAGGAGACCACAAGTGAAATTTAGTCTATTACATATAAGGAAGAAAATACTTGCAACAATAGAAATTAAAGATGCCTAAAATACAACAAGAAGTATTAGACATTCACCATAAACTTTATAACACCAACATAATTAATTATAAAAGAAAAGGTGTCAAATAAATTAAAAGGACTAGAGATAAAGTTCTAAGATGGTAACGAAAATCAATAATGTGATTAGCTCTATGGAATAAAGCTACGAAAGTGCAGAGTTTCTATTCAACGCTTTTTTGATTTCTTCTTTTGCTTGGAAGATGAGCCATGCCTTTTCTTACAAACCCTCTTTTCCGTTTTATCTTCTTTATCCATCAAGTATGGATTCCCTGGTTGTATTGGACACAATTCAGATGGATTTTTATTCATCCCACAAGACCTTTCAGATGTATCATTTAGGAGAATTGGAATTTCACGAGAACCCCTATATAGTGGTGGAGTTTCTTCTTCTTCCTCTTCAAGATCAAGCCAGTCAAACAAATTATTTCTATTTTGCATAAATGAGGAAGAGTTATTCACCTGTTCTTGTCCAGACACAATCACATTTTGGTCAACCAAATTAGAAGGACCTGTTAATTTTCTTCCAAAGATTGTAAGGCCATGTGATTTATCAGATAAATTACTTTTCTTGTGAGAATCAGATTGTTGACCTTCCAAGGAATCATAAGTCATAGATTTACCAATATCCAACTTAGCATTGACTTCACTAGGATAAAAAGTTTTCTTAGATGAATCAATGTCCAAGTTAGTATTTAAGTAATCACCTGTATTCAATATTTTCTTTGGCATTTGATCACTACCTCCTGGATTCAAATATGTAGTTGATTTCTTTCCGGTAGAGTCTTTGATGAATAGATCCATGCTAGGTGTTATGTCAATAGAATTCAAATCAAAACATGATCTTTGATTAGGATGAGGCTCCTCCACATTGTGTTGGCTAGAAAACAAGTACTCTTCATTAGTCGTGCCTGAGGTTTCAAGACCAATATTTCCATCCACCATCTCTTGGTAAATATCAATAGAATATGGGATATTTAAATCAAAATCCTTTTCCTTAACTGGCTTATTCAGTACCTCTATAACTTTTGTGGATTTATCATATTGGGATGAGTTTAACAACCCACAATTTACATTTTTCACATTAGGCAGACTCGTTATCATTGTCTCTGCAATTTCCATTAATGAAGCCTGACCAAACTCCTCATCATCTATTGATAAATTATTGTTACATTCTCCAAGTTCCATGACTTGGGCACTTGTGGCCTTATCAAATTCCTACATGAAGCAAATGGTTATTATCTTCGAACTGAATTTTCTATGAAAAGTTAATAGTCTTAGGATTCTAGAAAAAAAATTCCTACATGCAAGCAAAATTCATAGGTAACAACTTCATTTTAGTTGTTATGGTTCATTTCTAACTAGTTAAATTATAAGAACCAAAGTTTTTATAATGCATAAATATTTTTCCTCAACCTAGAAAATTAAATAATTTGATTCCATATTAACAAACATCTATACATGTCATAGGGATTATTTTAGTATATTAATTAAATATAGGAGCATATATAAATTCATAACTTACCATAGGGTTAATTTTATTGGTATAAAGAATTATAGTGATATGCAAAACATTTTAATACGCAACAAGAATTTAATAGAGTTGAAGAAATCAAAATGGTTCACAACATAAATTTTAAAGTAATAACTATAAAAGTATAAAAATTGATTAACAAAGTTTTGGGATATTCTTGTACAAAATATTTTTAAAATGAAATTATAGGAAGATACATTAGAATCAATTCAAATAATTAAGTCCAAACTCAAAAACTATTTATTACCATACAATTGATATTAAAAATAAATAAATAAATAAAAGAAGAAACATCTCAATTTTCTAATCATGAAAGTCTCATGATAATTAAGGAAAAAAATTTAAAAACAAAGGAATTTCATTTTTACTTACTTCAGTATTAACGGCTTCGACATTAAATCCATTTTCTCTTCGACATGTGTTACAACTCCATGATCTGAACTTTGGAACAAATAATGGAGGAAGTGGTGATTGTGTCATAGACTCATTCACTTTAAATGGTGAACACATTTTCCAATCCTTTTGCCGTTGTCCAGCCACATAACCACTGCATTAACAATAGCAAATGTTAAGACTTTGAAACACACTTAAGAATGCTATGTCATTTTTTAACAAAATTATTTTTTCACTAAATTTCCCTAATTACCCAAAAAAAACTTTATTTAATAGATAAGGTGTGATGGTTTTTTTTCTTAATCAATTACTAAACTAAACATTTTCACATTTGATTCTTTTATACATAACTTTCATATTTGGACTCACTGATAGATTGATTTATAATAATTTTTCAATATTCCTAGTTATTAATCCATTGGTTTCTAACTTCAAAATGTTGGTATATTTAAATCTTTACATTCACCAATAAATAATTAAAATGCAATAATTTATTATATACATAAAGCACTTGTAGATATCATAACAACATACCAAAAACTAAGTGAGAAAATATAAAATGTATCGTTCATTAATCACCTATCCTCCCACAACACCAATAAAATGTTACAAAGAAATTAAAACAAAACAATTAAACAAAGTATTATAGCCTAAGAAAGTATATCTGCTCTTTTATGATATTAAGCTAATAAGAATATGGGGAAAAATGCTTACCGTATAGAGAAATGTTTACATGGTGGGTCTTCTTTCCTCTTTTCAACAGAATTGACATACTTTGTAAAGAGTTTCATCATCTTGATAGCTCTAATGAGTTTGATGATAATATATTGAGATGACCTCAAAATAATTTCTCAACAACTATATATGTCTCCCTACATAGTACAAACAATTAGAGCTATAAAAACAAGTCAAGTTTCTTGTAAAAGTCAAAAATATTAAAATTAAAAGGAAATAAAAGGCTTTAAAAAGCAAGTCAAGAAACCATTAACCAAACAATTTCCACAAGTCTATTAGTATTTATACAAAGTTGTTAACAAGTGTGGATGATAGATAATCTAAAAAAGGTAAAAATTCCATATCAGAAAATACAAAGTTAATAAAATATCCTTACATGATGATAATTAATCACATTAAATAATGATATATAGACTTATGAAAACATATAAACCATAGATTTTCATTTAATAAATCCAATCACACAAATGTAGTGAGTTAATGGCCTAATATTTAAATTAGATCCCTAAAAACAGTAACCAGCATACCTATATAGTTTTCTCAAAATAGGATACACACATAAGCAAAATTATCTATTACATAATAGAATTTTTATATTTCATTGTCAAACAAACCTTTTTGTGGTGCATTAAAACATGATCTTAATATAAAATTAATATGTCAAACTTAAAAATCACAAACATCCTAGATTTACTTATTGGTGATAAAACAAAACATACAGATTCACAAGACCAAAGTTTTAAGTTTTAGTGTTCTACAAAAATTCATATTTTTATAAATTAAAAAAGATAAGATAACATAGGAAAGATAAAATCACTAAAAAAAAGTTTGTCGCAAAAAATTTGAACATATGTATTAAAACCAAATAAATAATACTTTAAGGGAAAAACGATATTATAAATGAAAATTTGAAGTAGACACGTACTTGTCATTAAAAAAAATAATGAATTATATCTTTCAGACAAAAATAAGTTGAAAACTTGAAAACACTTTCTTAATTAAAATAAAACCAAACATTGAACTAAAACCATGAATCAAAAATAAGAACTTGAAGAAGAAAAACAAACACTATAACTCACTAGAACACTCACACATGTTGTCTTTCTCGCTCTCGATTAGAAAACTAATTATTAATGATATCTTGAGAAAAAATGACACCAGACAAAGAAAATAATGGTCAACAAATTTAGGAAAAAAAACTCACAAGATTCCTAGTTCAACAAACACAAATTGAGTGCAAAAAAAAACATGGAGAGAAAAAAGGGTTTTAATTGTTTTAGAAGGAGAATTAAAGTGAATGGGATAGATAGAGAGAGGGATCAAGATAGAGATAGAATGTGTTTCCTTTTCCTTGATAAAATATGTTGTTTGTATGTGATTATTTTGTATATTTAAAATGAAAAAAAGATAATACCTTATTATATCATGTCTATATTATATTGCGAAAAGTTATAAATATCAAGAGTGAAAGCTAGGTGACAAAAATACTAAGCTAGTGGGATCATGCTACATTACAAGTGTGTTACCCTTTACTTTTTATGAATTTATCATCATACATAGAGCATAAATTATAATAAAAGATTCATATTTTTCAAAAACTTTTTTCTCAATTAATAAATGATTCACACATACTCAAATTTAGTTAAATGTTTCAAACTTTATATAAAATATAACATAAAGAAATAAATAATTATTTGACACTCCAAAAGATCATACATCTATTATAGAACCAATTATTAAAAGATAAAAACATATGAAAATCTAAAACATAACAAACCAATCTCAAGCTTGACTATTACATCCTATCAAAGAAATGTAAACCTAAAATAGAAACATATACAAGGCCTAAGCCTCTCCTCCAACATTAGTGTCTAGCTAATGCTTACTAACAAATGGCATTCAACCAAAACATAAATAAGAAGCAAAATAAGGAGTGACATAGATCCCACTTTTAGCTCCTAGTGTGAAACAAAAATAAGACAAGTCAAACACATAAACATACATATCAAAATTCCAATTATAATACGTATATAAGGATAATCCATGCTATGAAATTCATTATAAATTATAATTTAACTATTCACGTAACCAAGTTTAAAGTCTCCTATCTCAATATAGTGTAGCCTAAGTGTACATAATAGTAAATGGCACACCACACCATGAGCGTTCGACACTAACAAATTTTCCACTAAGATGAAAAGTGTTGCAAGAGTACACTAACCTCATAGGACCAACATATAGGTCATATGGAGATCAAAAACTACACACAACCTTGATGCCAAAAACCTTAGATATCCTTATAGTAGCCACCCTAGCTTAGACTCCTATTATGTACTCCCAAAATATAATTTCTATGCTTATGATGCATGACTCATATATACAAAGATTTTCATATTATGTCATGATTTTTAAATGTCACTAGAATAAGTTCTCTCAAATCTCATATCTCAAGTTCAATAATAATATCTCAAGTATATTAAATACATAAGAAACAAGGTTTGATTATGCAATTATACCACCAAAGTCATGTCAAGTCCATTAAAGGACTCACGCTAAGCGCATGTGACCCTTCACTTAGCAAGAAGAGGTCAGAAAACAACTCTCTTTGGTAGTTAACGTCATCACATATATTGCTCATAGTGGCTCTCTCGCTTAATGGGGTTTAGGTTTAGGGTTTGTGTCCAAATAAATTATGTTATTTATGGGTTGTGCATTTAGCGAGAATTTGGTCTTACTAAGCATGAAAATAAGAGGTCATTCTTTAAGGCTTCAACACTTAAAGTGAGGGTTCTCACTCTTAAAGTCAAAACTACTGGCATTTTCTATAGTTATCACGCTTAGCAAGAGCCTAGTCTCATTTAAAACTAGAGGGTTAGAGAGCAAACTATGCCCCTCTAGGAGTCTCGCACTTATCAAGGATAACCTTACACTTAGCACAAACTTGCAAATTTGCACAAATTGGGGTTTTCACAAAACCTTTCTAACCTCACATATAATTGTCCAATTATATCATTTTTTAACACATAATCATGTTCACATTTTGTTTATTTTATAATCATAACTATATAGGTATACTATGGATTTGAATTGCATATATAACCACTAAATTATAACTTAATCACCAAGAATCCTAATTTCACTATATTTAATAACAACAAAATGAACAATTAAAGTGCTTCAAGGTGGTCATTACCAATCCAAAAAATAAACAATTAAGATTAAACGAAAATCTACAGGGTTGACAGTCAATCTTGCCATCCCATTTTGTTTCACACTTGTGAGTAAAAAAACTCACTCTTCCTTAACTTTAAAATGTTCCTATATTGATAAGAGTTCCAAATCTTTGATTCATTCACTCAAGTTTTTTACTCCTTTAGTTTGTGATTTTAACGACCCATGATATCCAAAGAGGCAAAAACATAAAAGGGAAGTAAGATGGAAAAACTACATCTTTAAACCCTGGTGACTTTTAGGAAAGAAATAGGATCAGAAATACAAAGCTCAAATCCTTATTTTTAATAGAAACACATTAGATCTTTAGTTTTCTAAAACAAACTTTTAGTTCTATGTCCATCAACTCCAAAATACATATATTAATAAAAAAATCATAAAATAACATGATACATAATGATATATATAATTTCAAAATAAAAATTTTGATTTTACAATTCTTCTGTCTCTAAAGGAAATTTTGTCCCCAAATTTTACTTGTCGCATACAAAAACAAATAAGACTTTTTCATGTTGATTTCAGGCTCCAATGTAACACTCTCTTAACTAGCTCCCCCTCAACCTTAATTAAGCAAATTAGTTGTTCCTTCTAACTTTTTTGTCCTTTTGTCCTTAATCCTCAACGACAAAGTCTCATGAGTGAAGTTATCTTTTACTCAAATATTATCCAACTTGATCACACGTGAGATCATATAAATACCTTTTGAGTTAGGAAACGTAGGAGACATTATGAAGATTGGAAAAAGGTGAGGTAAGGTTATTTGGTAGGTAACTTTTTGACTCCTTTTAGAATTTGATAGGTATGAATGAAATAATAAATAAGCTTATGAGAATTCAAGGCTTTACAAGCCTCGACCAATGAAGTGATTTTCAAGAATACATGATCACGTTGAAACTTTAGGTCTTTTATTCTCTACTCTTGGTATGGCTACTCTAAGCTTCTCTCGATCTCTCTTGGATCAACTTAATATTTTTAGTGGTTTTTTGCACCACTTTAGGTTATAACATAAAGTTTTCACCAGGTTTTAACCAACACAAGGGTGTCCTACACCTCTTAGCATACATGGTTTATTAAGGTGTCAACCTAATACTAGCATGATAGTTATTATTATAGTTGAAATCTATCAAGAGCAAGAAATTTTCCCATCTACCTTTTTATTCTAAGACATAAGCTCTAAGGAGATTCTATAAGAATTGGATGGTTATCTCAATTTAACTATATATTTGAGGATTATAAACTAAACTTAACCTAAGCTTCATTTATAAAACTTTATACAAGTTTACCAAAAAACTTAAGGTAAACCTATGATCTCTATTATAATTTATGCTAGAGGATAGATAATGTAATCTCACTATCTAATTAACATAAAGGTTGTTCAACCTCTTTAAGGGGTACCAAATGTTAATTTAAAAATAAAGTGAATAGATTTAGTTAACCTATAACACCTAGTTTGTTGGGATTGAGGTCTAGTTCATGCAAGTCAAAATTTAAAAAAAAAATTCATGTGTTGGTTTAAAATGTAGATTTAAACTTTGTGACCATAGAGCTACAAAAATTGTTGGCATCTATTTCAAATTTAAATAAAAAGGTAAAATGTGTCAATGTTAAATAGTTGTATCTAGATATGCTCGATAGATAATTTATATAATTACAAATAATTTTGAATACACAAACAAATATGACTTTCTTGTGAATACAATTAAACTATAAACTAAGTAATTAAAAGAAAGACATATGTTTGTGGTCCATTATATCATCCTAATTTGCAATCACCTTGAATTGAAATTGTCTAGCCTCTTTATACAACTTGAAAACAAAATATTTAAATTTGTTTTGAATAATAGTAATATAAAATATTTACTCTTACTGACTTACCTATTTCATGCATTTTCATTATCAACTCCGATTATATGTTAAGTAACATCCAAAATTGCTAACCAAATCCTTTTTCATGATAATTTTCAAAACATTATTGAATTTCTTACTTATTATTTAGGATGTTACATAAAACATCACCACCACTTCAATTAAGAAAACCACATTGTTGTAATTCCTAATCATGGGTTGGTTCTTCAACAAAATAATTATTATGATACCATATAATTATACCACAACCAACAAAAAACTGATTATCTCCTTAAATCCTTCTCTTTTATGTTTTGTTAAAATAATTACAATCTTAATTATGCTAGCATTCATTTTATTAACAATCCACACCATATAAAATTAAATCAAATAGAAGAGACTCAATCAAGCAATAAGGACCACATATATATTGCAACCATTTTCATATATATCATTAATGAAAATTAAAACTAATTAATGAATGGTATCATATTGAGGACTCAAAGTCAATGTAGCTATGAGGGGAGTTTTTGTGCTCATTTGAGGGTAAAATAGGTTCTAATCCTCTTAAAGCAATAGAATAAAAAATATATAAGTTATATATATATATATATGTGTGTGTGTGTGTGTGTGTGTGTATGTATGTATGTACAAACATTACATATACATATATACATACACACATATATAGTAAAAAGCTACACATGAATTGATCATTGAAATTTGTGGAGGTAAAAAATAATAGGATGATCTTATCCAACTCAACATGAAAAAAAAAAGCAAATTTGGTGAGAAAGTGATCATACGAAATCTAGATATGGGTAAATTTCTTAACTTGTATGTTAAAAACTCATGTTAATTTGTGTGTTAACAACTTGTATTATTGTTTTCAAAACATGCATCAATACCTTAGAATTAATATGGTTTGATTATTAACAAAAAAAAAATCATGAATACTCATTTGTAAATTTGAACCCATGTGTAAATCTATTTTATTGACTAATGCACACATGTGGAAGATGCAAAAAAAATCTCATTATATCTTTATCCCCCACCAACCAATCTATCTTTAGTGTTTGGTCATTTAAAATAAGTTGATTTAACAATATTATTACATTATATAGAACATGTATTTTATATATAAAAAAGAATCATGAATACTTGTGTAAATCTACACCTATGGAGATAAGAGATAAAAGTGAAAATATGATGGATGTCATATGATATAATCAGAAAAACAAGATGGATGCCATTATATAGAACTGCAAATGTGAATCATTAATTTTTCTTATAGACCAAGGTGTGCTCATTTGGTGTGAGGTGGGGTTATGAAAGTTCCAAAGGTAAGGATAGTCCAAGGAAATCATGATAAGCTAACTAGTGAAAACATTGTTATTGTGTATCATATTCATATTCAAAATTATAATTCTCTCTAATTGTAGGTGTGAAAAATGGGTGGGAGCAACAAGAAAAATAAGATCACCATGCTAGATTTAAGCCTATCTTAACGAGATTTATAACGGGTCTAATCATATGTTGTATGTACTATGGATGGAGTGTGAGAGAAAGAATGTTAATAATAGAAAATAGGAGCAAGCTTATAAATTTACAGTCAATGGTTTAGCATTGTTGCAATAAGAAATTTTTAACTTAGCCATCTGAAAGGCAACCAAAGTTGCAAAAATTTTGTGTCTTTGAAAACCCCCCAAAATTGATATAATGATAATAGTCTTTGTTAGTTGTATTGTAAAAAAATGAAAAGTCAATAAGATATTTTCTATCATGGTATTATTGTAATGTATATGAAAAGGTTTTTGTTATCAATTGTGGAATGTCACACCATTGAAGTTGAATGAATTTGCAGATCTAGTATATAAATATAAAATTGTTGATGTTAACCACTTCCATGAAGAATGAGAAATTATTGTTAGGCCTAAAAAATATTTTTTGGGGTCAGAATCATGCCACTTCAACAAAGCAATTGGGCTAGTACATACGAAAATCAATAAAATTCATATGGAATATAGAAATAAATATGCAATATTTTTTTAAAAAAAATAAGTGTAGTTTGAGGTCTTATTGGGAAAATGGTTGCCCAATTAAGCCACCAACAAGGCATTAGGCAAGCCATCACCATCCATAAGAAAAAAATGCTTGTTGAATTCAAATGATGGAAAATTATAACTTCTTATCTGAGGAGGAAATTTATTTTTATTTTCTTGTGTTGAGATTGTTATGATTTTTAGACCTAATAAATGACCTTTTCTAATTTAGCATAGAGATAAACATACATAAATCAATACCATTAAACAATAGCTCCTACATAGGTTATGAATTTGTGTTGTGAAAAGATACAGACACTTTATTTATCATGATTTTTCATGCATATTAACATATAATCAGCAAGTAGCTAGGAAAAGTATATTGAATGATGAATCTAAGATCAATATATATTTGTAATCATAAAGGCTTGCACAACTTAAAAAGGCAATATTGAGGCTAAATTTGTGTATTTTATACTTAATTTCAAATTCAACATTTGCTAATGATTTTACATAGTAAAGAGTGGTGAATCAACTATGAGTCTATCAAATAGGAGGTGCAAAAAATAAACTTACGTATTGGAAGGCAAAGACGTCAACAAGAGAAATTTTAAGATGAGATAGAGAAATTTGTCAACCTTGTGCACACATGAAAGAAAATAATCAATAAACAAGTTAAGTTTTAGTATACATTAAGTAAACTAAGATGCAAAACATATGTACAAAGGCAACAAAATCAAACACAAAATAAAAATGAAACCCTAGATCAAAAATAAAATCAATAAAATTAAACATCAAAATCAATAAAATTAAACATCAAAATCAATAAAATTATATAATAAAATCAATCCCTAAACATAAATTGTAAAAAAAATTTAACCTAGATCATAAAGATGGGAGACGAACCTGACATGAATCATCGCGAGGTTGACGGCGTACACAAAACGAAGAGAGAAAACAAGAATAGCTAAAGAAAACAACAATAGAGAGAGAAAACAAGTAGATCAAGAGAGAACAAGTAGAGAGAGAATGATAATAGCGAGACAAAACAAGTAAAGCAATAAGGATCAAGTAGAGAGAAAGGGTGAGTAAAGTGAGGAATGAAGCAAAATGAAAGAGAGAGTAGGTTATGACTATTTTTCAAAAGGAGGATGGTCAAGGTCTCACGTGTCATAAACGTGGACAAAGAAAGAAATTGAAGTTTTTTACTATTTTAGTAGAATTTTAGATTCTACTATTTTAGTTAATTAAAATTCATTGTCAAAATGACACAATTTAAATGTAATTTTACTTTACCTATACAAACAATTTAGTTGAGAGTAAAGTATTTAAAATTTATTTTAAAAAATGAGTTGCACCAACATAGTGTAATATAGTTGGAAAATAATTAAGCTTTTTAAGTGTGTAGTTAAATGTTTAATTCCCATGTTGTATGCAAGGAAGAGCATTTGTTGTAATAAGTCCTACCCTTTAATAGATATTTGCATACCTTAAGGGAGTAATCTTTGTCTCCCAACCAGAGGATACTTGACAAACAAAAAAAGATGAATTACTATGTTAAATTGACTCATTCATTATTAGAATTTCTCTTATTATATATGACTTTTTCATACGAATTTTACATAAAAATTTGTAGGAAACGTGATTCTTACGAATTTTTCTACAAAAATTTTTCTCCAGGTAATATTTTCGTGAATAATATATTTTTGCGAATTTTAAAATTCGCAAGAAATTTTCCTACGAAATTTCTTTTGAAAAAATTCACAAGAAAATTTCTTATGATTTTTTCGCAAGAAATTTTGTAGAAAAGTTTTGTATGAAAAAAAATGAAAGAAATTATTGTAGAAAGTTTCTTGCAAATTTATAATTCAAAAGTAATTTTTGTGTAAATTTGTTTTTGCTAAATGTCTTACAAATTTTTAATTTACAAGAAATTCTATCATAATTATGAGTATCAAATCACCATTAATTCTTCAATTATTATTAATGAATTCAAAATATGCTTTTCATACCTTCAACATGTAATTGATGACCTTTTGAAATTTTAGAATGTAGGTTATATTAGAATATAGGTTATAGATCTATCTCAACTTACGAGATTAACTTGTAAGGTGAGTGTTATCGCTAGTTATATACTCTTTAATTATCTTATTTTTAATTAATGTGAGACTTAAAATTTTAAAAAAAAATTAATTAGATTATGTCCATAGAAATAAAATTAATCCAATCATATTGAACTACAAAATTATATTATTATAAATTATATTAACTCTTAAAATATTTAATATTTTTAAAAAATAGTTTTTTTATTAAATAATTTTATTTTAAAAACTATCATTAAATTAAAACTCATCATCGTTAATTTATACATTTAATTAAAATAAATATTTAATTTATTAATATT